TAAACACAAGACTTGAGGATGAGGCTCGATCAAATAAACTAAGAAATATATGACATCCGTTTGGTCTGCGAAACCATTTTATTTGCCGACAAGTTCCCATATTTAATACAAAAAATTAAATAGGATTTATTTTAGGCTGGGTTCGGAAAAACTTCCTATAAGGGCAAACCCCTATAGTTAATTACATCTTAAATGACCGAAGTCACCTAAGAAAACTCTCGATAAAAATCAGAGAATATTATCTTCAAAGAGGTCAAAAGGATATGACTTTTAAACGAAATCGGACGAAGAGGTGTGAAAGGGGATAGGCTCGAATCTGGAACATTGTTGAGGAATCCAAATGAAGAGAAACTAGGGGAGACCACAGATCCTGAGGCGAACCTCGGTGGCTTCCCAGTCTATCCTATGATTTGACTTCAGTTTCGAGGATAAGTCATTCAAGTGTTTCATCTTGCCAATTTTATTTAATTAGGGCTTATACTTGCATGACACGGTAGAAGATATGAGGGTTTACGTCGTATCGGACGACAACCCCGGAACCTAGAACGAGTTAGGGCTGAAATTACACAGTCTTGTTGTGCAAAGGCCTAACAGATAAAGTGAGGATTTATGTCGCGCTAAGCAGACTACCTCGAAATCCTATGACTTGTTTAATTTCTAGGAAAAGCAATGGTTTTGCTGGAGAAGACGTGTTATGCTGTTGAAGATGATCGTGCTGCCCACCGGGCTAGCTCCAAGCTCCTTGCCATGACGAGTTTAAGTTTTCTAGGGTGTCCAGTTACGATGTTAAATCAAACAACCCTATGGTGAAAGTCTTCTAAACATCCTATATAAAAGAACACATGCTTAAAGATATATAAATAAAAATGTGCAGTACAGGACAACAGTACGATGCATGTAGAACAGTAGCAGGTGGAAACATGAGTGGTATAACATGTACAGAAAGTACAGTAACAGGTACAAACAGGACAAGTATAACATGTTGTACAGTACGGTAGCAAGTAGAAACAAGACAAGTATAACATGTTGTACAGTACGGTAACAGGTAGAAACAGGAAAATTAAGTGCTGTAAAATGTAAAGCAAATCTGTACGCCCGTGAGATCCGCTGTTCCTTAAGTATAGCAAGTCTAAATGCATCGCAAAAAGTGAAGTCTGAAAGAAAGAAACGTCGTCCAAAACGTCGTCCAGGAAATCCGAAAAAAGAGTGTAACAATGACTCGTAGCGGAGACTCAAGTAAAAGAGAAGAAAAAGAATCCTAAAAAATCTTAGAGAAATCCCGAAATAAAAGAAAAGTAACACGAGTGCCCTGTCCCAAAGCTTCGATAAAACAATTCGAAAGCTTCGATAAAACAAAACAAAAAAACGTTCGGGTGAAGAGGACCGCAAGCACTCGTATGGGGCTAGGCTCAGTTATGTATTTATACTCGAGGGTCCACGAACATTTATTGACAGTTAATTTGAGGATAGTAGAGATAATGAATCCAAAAAAGGTTGGAGTTGAGTTGTTATGAATCTCAAAACATGTCATCATGTCAATTAACCCCCATTTTTTTATTGTATTGGTTGATGAATAACTCGACAATACTTCAAAGAACATAAACTGATAACCTATTTCCCTTTTAGTGTGGTACTTTAAGGAAAATGATGTTTTTCTTTGAAAATGGTTTATAAAAACTTATCTTTCTTTTTTTCAGAAATTTTTGCTGTCCACGAGTCGATTACGCTGCCAGACATAGGACTGCCAACAACATGAGGAAGTTCGAGCCGACTACCGCTAGACTTATGTCGGTGAAGGATATTGTTATCCTATTTTTCATCAAATACCTGGATCTTGATGTTATAGGATAAGGCATCTTTCTGCTCTATCTTCGGTGTGCATTTATCATCACCACCGTACGCCCCAAAACGACTACTTGCGACCTTGCTTGATGGTTTCACGTATAGCAAAAGGCTATACGTGGACACTTATGCGTCGGACATAA